AAACAACTTTAATCATGGTTAAGTCCATTAAAGTATGTTTTATTAATTGTTTTCCAGCTGTATAAAATTCTGGAATGAGATTGGTTTCAGTATTTACTTAGTGCTTGTGATAAGTCGTTTAGTCCGATAAAAGGCAGAGAATACTTTTCAGAAATATAGAAAAATTGGAAAACATTTAAAGTACAGGCCATTTTTGAAATATACCAAATAAAATAATGAATGATTCTGGTAAAGACAACACAATTTTGAAACCATTAATTAGTGCTATGTTATATCCTGGGAATAAAAGGCACTACAAAAAAATTGAAAACTTATTGAATAAAATCATGTACACTGGGGGGGAGGGGTGAAGGACAGTTCTATATTTCCCGTTCTACTGGGCCAATTGACGAAATTCAAATTGCGTTTTTCACGTCTTGAAAGTGCAACTTAGGATATAGATTAGATTTTTTCTAACATAGGTATTTTGACACAAAATGCAACTTTTTCTGAAATAGCATACCAATTTTTTCCATATTTTGATTCTACGATTCAAATTATGCCTAAATATTAAATTTTGTAAAATCTGGTGCGAATTTACAACGTGGCTCATTTTTTTTCAGTTTATGCCAAGACGTGGTGTATTTAATTATGGCAAGGGGAGGGATGCCTTCATGTAGGACTTTCTAAGGGAAACTGACTCGTATACACGTTACACATGGGGAAAACCAATGGTTGTGCCAAGAATAATTTACTTAGTGAACTATATAATATATGGCAACCTATTTTCTTTTCCCTTCCATTGTGCAGGAGCAGAAAAAAAAAGTCTATTTGTTCCTATCTTTTTTACATTGTGCAAGAGCAGAAAAAAGGTAACTACTTTCAAATAATTTTAACAAAGTATGTAAACCACATTTGATGTTATTATCGCTTTCAACAAATATGCCAAATTTCAAAATGCTCCAGTATATAAATTCACATATATCTTCGGAAATTTTGAACAAAACACTGCAATTTTTTACAGGTAGGTTTAGAAAAACATCTACTTTAAGACAATGGTAAAAATTGTTTAGGTTATAATCCAAATTTTTTTCGAAAAATTTATAAAAATTATTTAAAATACAAATTTTAAAGCAAATCAGAATAAATGGGCGAGTTTTATTTGAAATGAACCTAAATTTCGAAATGTGAAAGGAAGAATGAAATAAGTTTAATAAAAGATAAATATATATCAAATTAATTTATCATTATTGAGGAGCTAAAATTTCAAAAGCTAATTTTTTAAAAACTACCTGTGGGATTTTTGAGAAACTTAGCAGTTTGGCATAAGTTGAATCGTAGAATCAAAATATAGGAAAAAGATTGGCCTGTCATTCCAGAAAAGGTCTGATTTTGTCTCAAAATACCTATATTAGAACAATGCTATATATCAATCTAATATATAACCTAAATTGTGCTTTTGAGACATGAAACACGCAATTTGAATTTCGTCAATCAGCCGAGTAAAATGGGAGATATAGAAGTGTCCCTTTTTTTATCGCATTATACATACAGGTGTTAAAAAGTTTACATTATTGCTTAAAAATATGCTGTGTTTGTTAAGTTTGTCATCTGCAGAGCCAATTATAAAACATATGTGACAGAGGCAATCACAACTACATTTTTCTCACAGGTGACAACTAAATGAAGGTAAATTTTGCATATTTAAATTATCAATAAATACATTTGAAGATAATTTTGCTTTGCATTAATAATAAATAGATTTAATTCATAAAGGGCATCATCTATACTGATTACTAAAAACAATGAAATGGGCCTAATCTCCTACAATAAAATTTGGTGTTACTGATCAGTTGCTAGTATAAATGCTAAGAAAAAAGCATTATGAGGACCTAGCATACTTTTCTTGCAATTTTACTTGGTGGAATGGTATGTGACAAAATTCATTTACCTGTTGTATTGTACAATGTTGAAGGAAACAGCTAGAAAAGATATTCACATTTTCTTTTGTTGGTACTGTACTTGTTAACGACCCTAATTCCAATCCATCTTTGCCTTCTGCCTTTAACCCTTTGACGCACGGTGGTCGCGCCCTGAAACCACCAATTTTTTAATATTTTTCTCCTCTTCCTTCCGAAATTTTTTGAGTGAAAATCAATTGATTACTGATCTTTTACCTCTAAATAACACAAAATGACTGCAGAATCATACATGTTTTAGGTCTTAGTACTTCAAATCGGATGCCTTTTAGCGTTCGTTTTCAATGAGACAAAATAACTTCCTTTTATTAATATAAACAAATTTAAATTTCAAAAGTTATTCATCGCACATCATGATTTTTATCATAAACAATAAAAAACAGCAATAGTTAAACTGATTACATAAAAAAAAACCCTCTATATGTATGGCATTTGCTTTGTGGTTTCAGGGTGCGACCACTGCACCATTAGAGCATTGTGTCACAATGCTCATAATTCTCTAGAGGCTCGGTGGTCGCGCCTTGAAACCACTGCTCTTCACAATGGTGTTTGCTTGCTTCTCAAATTGGAATGTTTATTTTTACCCTGATATAGATAAGGGGTTTTGAAACCCACAGAGTTATTTTATTACTAAACAATACATGCACCTGCCCAGTAAAAAGGTCTTTCTTTTCCAGAGACTTTTCTCTGACCTCAACACACTTGCTCCCCAAGTTATAGTATTGTGTTTTTATAAATTATTTCACATGGTTTAAATTTAACGTAAATATACTTTGCTATAATTAAAAATAGAAATTGCGTAAAGTTTTATTTAAATTTAAAATATTTTCTGAATATTTTGGGACAAAATACGAATAAAATAAGTATGAATGAAAACGAATGATCCATACCAAAGCCAAAAAGACCAAACCCCCTCCATTAACATCAAAAAACCACAAATTTCATGTGCCAGATGAAAAAAAACTAAATAACAGTGAAATTTAGATCCAGTCAGTGTACATTTTGTTGCACAAGAAAAAAACCTCATAGAAGATACATGTGCGAAACGTGCAATGTGGGTCTATGAATGTACCAAAAAGACAAAATATGCTTTGAACAGTGTCACAAAAAATATTTGTTCTCTGAAATTTAAAAAACACTGAGTCTTTTTTTTTAATCCTTATTTTACTGAGTTTTTTAATCCATTTAGCCAAACGTCCTTATTATGTAGGTACTTTATTTTCACTGCTATAGAAAAATTGCATAAATGTTTATTTTTTAATTTTTTCCTGTCGATTTACTTTATAAAATAATGTAAAAAAATTATACATTATGCAATTCCTACATACATTTTTTTTTAATTCGTAAATTTCGTCATTTATTGGAAAAGCGCATGGAGAAAGGTAAGTTCCCCCCCTCCCACTACCTAGGTAAGTTTCAAAGTCCTAGACGCGCGGTGGTTTCACAGTGCGACCACCACCCACAGAACAATGGGCAAGAGTAGATTTTTTTAAATTCATATATTATTTGTCTCTAGGATCATAATAATCATTTTCTACAGTTTTTTAGTTAAAAAAAATTAAAAAATAATATCATGCGCGTCAAAGGGTTAAGGAATTTATGTTTTAGTTCTTGTTTCATCAACAGATGGTGTTAGTAGCTTAACTCCTGTCCAGTCTTTCTTATCTTATCTAATCACTATATCTTATCTCGTTCATTTAGGATTTTGCAGCTGAGGATGATGGTTTGGTAAAACCATCAAAACTAGTCCTGTGAAAATTTGAAAACATGACTGATTTGATAACTGTTTGACTTCTAAATTAATTCTACAACATTTTTGTGTACATGAATTGATCAGTGTGACAAATGATACAAGGTTATTAAAAATAAATCAAGTATCAAATGAAGTCTTAAAGTATTCCAAATAAAAAAATAAATAATAATAATAAAAGTACTGCATAAAATGATGCACAAATATTTTCAGTTTTAGGCATAACAGCATACAAAGGATGTGACATTTTCAGAATGATTTTGAGGCTGCTTGATTAATGTTAAAAATGGAAATACTTATTATTTAAATATTCTATCTGATGCTCTTTCTCCCAGACCATATGTCTTCACCATACTTCTCACTGTATAAGAGCTTGTAAAATTTATAGGCATATGGCCGTTTAATCTTCTTTTAATTACATTCTGCAGCCCATCAGCTAGTGTAGGTTAGCATTTAGAAAGAGCTCTTTTCAACATGTCCAAAGCAAAGTAATGTGCAGGTGAAATGACAAAGGGACTTTGCAAGATTATGTTGATCCACTTTGCAGATTTATAAGGGACTTTGCAGATCTATAATTAGAAAAGATTCTATAGTTTTCTTATTATAGAAAAATGTGAACTGGTACGTTTCTATACAATTATTTAAAGGTCATGTTCGCATATGGCACACATGAAGCCATAAATCTTGTATGGGTGGTGAAAATTATCTAATTAAGTGTTTTAGTTACTGTATGATTTAAGGATGATTCTAATGACATAACTAATATACTTGATATTTCTAAACTGACATACGATAGCAGCAATGTATCAAAATGGAAAGGGAGAGCATATGCACCATAGTATTTCACTTATTTTAAGATATAAAAGGTATTTTCTACAGTAATAATAATAAGATGCCATTAAAGATCTGAAGTACTTGATTGGCTATATCAGCATTCAGACTGCAAAATGTATGGAGCTGTTTTTGAGTATCACTTAAAAATTTCCAACAATCATAAGAAATTTTTATTACCAAGAATACACATTTACTTACAAAAACTGGTAAAAAATGATGAAAATGATACATAGAGACGTTCATATATAACAAATGCTGGCAGTTTAAATTCTAAATAAGAACTATTTTGAAGGGGAATTACTTGAAATTTTAGTCATGTATAAAGCTTTTATGTTTGTAAAGACCAATAAAAAATGCAATAGATGTACATTATATATATAATGCAAAATGATTTTAACCAAATGAAATCCTCCTTTGAAATAGATCTCAGAAAATGATAATTCTAAAATAACACAACATATATAAAATTTAAATTTAATATTCAATTTTCCTCTTTTTCCTCTTTTTCATCTTTCCATTTTTCCACATTTGAAATGCAAACATTTTTTGTACAGTTATTAATTTTATATATGCCCACAAGATGATCAGCAACCTCATTCATGGTATCTCGGAGGGAAACGATAATAAACTGCGTATTTCTGGTTCTTTCCTAAAAGGATGAAAATAGTAATAAGAATTACACAATTATTATGTACAAAATTAAAAACATTTTATGACAGAATTAAGGAAAGTAAATTACCTTGAGAAAATAACTGACAATTCTAACATTTCGCTTATCCAATGCAGCATCAATTTCATCCATAACATAAAATGGTGTAGGCTTATAATAATGTAGGGCAAAAACCAAAGACAAAGAGCTCAAAGTTTTCTCACCGCCTGACAAATTCTTCATGATTTTCCAAGATTTGCCTCGAGGCTTCACACTAGGAGATAACATTACATGAAAAACAATAAGTACACATTGATATTTTAGTTTAAATAAACATTAATTTTTTAAAGTTGCAAAATTAATTCTTCAAATTATGCATTCAGTTACATTTAATTTTGCTAATTTTAATGAATAACAGCTAAACAAATAGGTAGAGAAACACACCTTTTTCATGACCTTTTCAGTTCTTTGAAGCAAAATTACTGATATGCATCTTAGAATATCACAAGGAATAAGTTACATAGTATGAAACTAAATATATAAAGCAAATTTCTGTTTTCAGTAAAATATTTCATAGAATTTAAATGGGGCATGGACAAATCAAATTTGTTCAAAAATATATATCTCAAATTAAGGAATAAATTGCTTATTTCCATGAAACTCAATGTTCAGTTTTACAAATTCTCCCTAAAAAAAATTTATTAGCTTTAAAATAAATTAATACATAGCCTACAAAATTTTCATGCCTATTTTTTCCTAAGCATGATGTCATGATTTACTGGAGGACAAGGAAAATATAAATAATAAAGCATATATAATATAAATATATAATATAAATATATAAGCCTATATAAATATAAATATATAATCTTAAATATAAAAAAATTAATGCTTAACATACAACACCTTTAATTCTAAGATGCAATAGAATTTTGCTTCAAAGAACTGAAAAGGCATGAAAAGGTGCTTTCTCTACCTATTTGTTATTAAATTTAAATTATCATACTACTTATGCCTGGAGAAAAATAAAATAAAAAAATTTTTTTTAAATTATATTTATTATAAATACAAAAATACACAGTATTAAATTAACATATGAACTATGCTCAAAGAGAAAATGTTAGCAAATGGTAATTGACAATGAAAGAAAACTTATTATTCATTACCCAGATTTAGTAACTGTTTCAAAAGCTGGAATTATATTACTGAAGAATTAGTCAAAATGTTCATTAATTAAACAATTTCTTATTTTTGATTTTAAAACATTTAAATCAGAAAATGCAGATTCAACCAAATAACACAATGAAAATGACATATAGTAAATCTTTATTAATATAATCTCAAGGGATTGAGAAATAAAGAGGGGATTGTTAACTGGGGATACAAATTTTAATTTTGAAGTAGTTTTTCCTATGCATTAACCATTTACAAGATAAAGTTACTTGAGTACTACAATATATTATATATGTCATCATAGAAAACACCACAGTACTACATTAATTAGTGTAACGTAACTTGAAAAAATGCACCCACAAATACCTGGTAACTTCATGGCCAACTGTACCTCTGTAAAACTAGTGGTCATTAGCAAAACATTTTAAAGTGTCTAAGGTGTGCAACATTTCCTGGTTGGCGGATGGAGTGATATAGTTCTCACTTTCTTCTAATAACATTTCTCTCACTTCAAACATAACTATGTGCTCTACCATGCCACTTATCATCTCTTATTCGCAGGGTATGAGTTATTAAAAGATTGTAAAAAGGTTCTTTAGTTTAGACATCACATGAGGCATACTTTCCTACCACTTTGTCAAATTCATGCAATTGGTTGTTTGCTCTTCCTTTACTGACTTTATCTGCTTTACTACAAATCACTAATGATGAAATTGAATGTATCTTTCAAAATCAGTACAGCCAACCAGCGGAACAACTGAAATCGATAATGTCTAAATTTTTTGCAATCTTGTTTGCTTTTGACTGAATTATAGGTCTACTTAAAGGGTACACTGGAAGCTCGAATATAACCGAACCATTTTGGAAGTCAAGTTTCAGCATCTCCGTACTTAGCACCGTGAAGTAGCTTATATATGTTTTCAGACTAGACGCAGCAGCACAAAAAATTTTTTCACACGCTTTAAGTATTGTGGATAAGGCAGGTTTGGCAATTCCATACTTTTTGACAATGACACTTTTCTTCAATACACCACAGTCTACTACCTCTAGAATTTATAATTTTCTTTTCAGATCCATGCCTGTTTCCTTCCTCTTTGTCACGAATTACTCTCTAATCGTTTGGAATTTAACATTAACAACGTTTGGAATTGTCACATCCTGAAAGGTACCAGAGTGTCATCTACAGATCTGTTGAACAAGTGTGCTGCTAGAACTTTCAGAGCATAGACAATTTTACCTGATTAATTCAGAATTATTCAAGATTTAGCATTACACATACTAGCTTAGAATAAAAAACATATGAATACTATATTCCATTTATTGTCTGAAGCTAACTGTTGATGTAATGATTGCGACTATCGAGCATTTTATTCATGTTGGCTATGTTTTATAGAACACAGTGTATTCTGTGAGGTTTTCAATGAAAGGGGATGGAACACTTTTAATGCATCTCTAGCAGAGAAACAACAGAAAAGAAATATCAACAACTTGGAAAATTTGAGTTAGATTATGCAATGATACAATAGACTAAAATACAGTTCATAATTCATGCTAACCAAAATTCATATTAATTGATAAAAATTGCCATAAAATCATATCATTACAAGGACTGAAATTTGTTCACATTAACCAAATGTTTGCCTTAAGCGAGTTTGTGTTAAGTGGACTTTACTGTTGTGAAAATTATTTTGATTATTTAACAGATGGCGCTAGCATTGTGTGTTAAACACAACATGCCTTTTTGACTTTCCAGAAACTCTCCACCGGCAGCTCTGTGGATAGATAGATAAATACTTTACACACTAGTTGATTAGAAACACTTGGGTTCCTATTAAAAGACTCGATTTTTCGATTGTGAAAGTATATAGATCTTGTTTGATCAATACAACACTGAACCACTGAATGCTTTAATCAGGGTTCGTATACATTTCTGCACATGGAAATTATGTACTTTTAAGGACTATTAATGAAAAAAAATAAGGACCTATCAGCAAATAGGAGCTGAATAAATTCAATTAAAATTCAATCAACTTATGTCTGAACTCAATTTTTGTAATAACCCTCTAAGAATAAAATAGATCCATAAGTAGGATGCATTCTTATTAAACATAATTTAATAAACATAACTATAAAACAAATTTGAGGATAAAATCCACTTTATAAAATTTATCAGGTAGCATTAAATATTTTACATGTATAATAGTGGATATAGTTTGAAATAAGTAAAAGTTTGAAAGAAGATTAGGGACATTTTATTTACGTTTTACTTAACAGTTAGCTTTATGTTGGTTTTTTCTTTTATGTCTCGTTTTGCCACGTACTTTAGTCTAGAGGTTTAGTAAATAGCAGGTAGATTTTATGTCAAATGGCATAGGTTAAAATGAGAAATAAAATCATAATCAGCATGATTCGTAACAGAAGACTGGTTTGCCAGTGCTGCTGCTTGCCTAGAGAGAGATCTGTTGATTAGAACAAACCTGAAAGCCTGATGTACTAGTTTTGAGGTTGGCAACTTTTAAAAGTTAGTTGTGCTCCATCTATCTGATACAGTTAGTGTTATATGTTATAGCTTCATGTAGAGTTCCTAGCATTGTAACCTAGTTAATATATTTTAAGGTTCCAATAAGCCACTAATGTACTAGAGGTGATAAGTTGTTTTGTAGTATTTTTAAGTCTCACTAGATGCAAAGAATAAGTTCTACATTAATTTTTACGTTTTTGTGCTGTATCTTGTGACCACTATAAGGATTAATGAAAGGCAAGAACTTGCTTTAATATGCAGAGATAACTTTTAAAGGTAAGCAGTTAGTTACAAAGAATTAAATTAGATAGCTAAATGCCCTTAATCGTTATAGATTTACATGACCACCATGATTTATTAAATTTTATTTATTTTTTAAAAAACATTTGATGAAAAAAGCACTGTTAAAATCACAATCTAATAACATTTCACAGTTTAAAATGCATGTAATTTTAAACTGTCAGTTTTAAATAAATGTCATAACATTGATTCTTAAACGTTATTAGGGTAAGTCCATGTTTTGTAGCAACAACACATAACAAAATATTTATGTGTCTTTTTAATTTGAAGCCTTTCCAGACATTTTGGCTTAATTTATATCAATTTTCTTCTCTTTAAACATCTTTCCTAACAATTAAAAATCTGTTTCAATACACAAACCAATGTTCCCACTAGTTTCTGTGTGCTTTATCTCCTAACTTGCCAGTCTCTTAACAGTGTATGTAACGATGATTTACTTGATCTGATAAAAGTTAGTCTAAAACCTCTTATAGATATGAAGCAAATTATCGCTATGTCTGAACGTAACTACAAAGTCACATAAAGGTTTAAAAAAACCTTTTATTTAAAAAGAACTTAGAACATACAGGCATGTTCCTATGTTGACAAAATAAACTATGGCTTGTGGTGATGCAATTAAACAAGAAGAGTCAAATTCAAACTAATAATGTCGACTAGTAGTCAAAGACTACACAATTTAATTTTCATATAAGTAATAGTATAAGCTCAGTAACTCTATCATCATAACAAATTCAAATGTTAGCAGTGATTAAGCAAAGATGAATAATTACAAATTATCAGAGCTGGCAGAAACTAATGCAACATCCAAGTGGAGGGCAAAAACACTCCATCTTTCAGTTCCAAAAACCTCAACTTAAAAACTATCTGATTTTCATGATGGTGAGGAAAAGGAAAGAGGATCTTATAGTAAAGGCTAAAATTATAAACTGGTTAATTTGCATAATAATAATTGTACATATCATCGAAGAATAATTTTCTTCCTCTTTATGCATTCAGTTTCTTTCTACAATTCGATTTCTCTTCACTTCAGAATTTTTGGAATTAAATTAAAGATTTCTGTTATTCTAAAAAACCAAATGCATTTAGAATGTAAACAAAAAGCTGATAAATATGAAATGATGCTGTAAGGGCTGGTTTCAGGACCGATGAGGCAGAATTTTTAGAATTTAGTCACACATCGAGCAACAAAATCTAGAATTGGCAAAACTGTTAGAATTTAGGATCCAAGAAGATTGCATCAGGTGGGAAAATGCCTTATGTCAGCCCTGTGTATGATCCAT